CTAGGGCTGGTTTATGTATGGAACAAAATGGCAGTCACGTTGAAGATTAAACAGAACAATGTAATTTTTGTAAATAAACATCATTGTAAATAAGTATTGTTAATAATATCTACTATCAAATGTTCGAAACAATGTTCAAATAAACGCTTTATACGTTAAAAAGCTTAAACAACGCTTGAAAGCGTAAAGTCCCTTGGGGAAGTTCGTGTTATAATTTATGCAAAAATCTTAGCGTGCAAAGACATGACCATGCATAATTAATGAGGCTTTAAAAATGATCATTTAAAAATGAAAAAGAGTAAATAACCCAAGATTTGGCGGCTGTGCATTCCCGTTGGTATTGACCAAATGCTTTGAAACTTTGTTAGTTAAAACAACATGTTCCATATTTCCCCCCCATGTAATCAGATTGCATTTTAAACGTGTCATTTTTCGGCGCAAGCTCATTCAAAAGTGCTTTTCGCTAACAGAATTCTCACTCTAAAAATGGTTCTTTTTTGAGACAATTTTGCTGTCAGATAAACCAATGGGCGTCAAACAACTTATTTCCACCAAAAGTTTTACCAAGCATTGGGCGCTGATTAACTTTGCAACGTTTTTCTAACTGTAAACTTTTTTTTGATACACCCTGTATTTTGTCAATTTCATTATCACCATCTTCTTCACTTTTACCATCCGAGCTGACTGAGCACATTGAAGATTCAACATTTCTCATGGTAACCTCAACATTAGGTTCCTTAACTTGAGCTTCTTGTGATGGTATTGGTGCATTCGGAAGTAAACCTTTTCTGATTCTTACACTTTTTGGTACAGAGATGTGATTCATTGGCACAATATTCTTTTTGACTTCAGCAAGTGTAACAGTGGAATGGACACTTTTTTTGTGCCTATTAATTTGGTAGTCTCCACCGGGGAGAGAATTGCCTTCTTGATTTTTGGGTCTTCATTTTTTGCACACAATAGACAAACTCTTTTACTTTTTGAATAGTCTCGAGTTCCTTGCCCTTCATTCATATTTTTTTAACCTTTTTCTAAACTTTTTCCTCTTTCAGGAAGAATAAGAAAAACAGCAGCTGTCGACCTCGTAGCACCATCCTCATTTTGCGTATCATCATGATCAGGCGCAGGATCACTTCTGGCAGGCTTGTTAGTAAAAAATGACAAAATACTCTTATCGGCTGTGCCTGTGGGTCTTCCAGAATTTGCTCTTTCCAAATTGCTTTTTTTCGCAGGAATAGTTGCTGCACCATCATCTTCACTTTGGCATAACCATCAGCACAGACTCTTTTTAAACTTTCAATGCTTGCAGACAAACGCCGTAGTGTTTGTTCCCTTTCTTCTTCCGATTGTTTGCGCTCAACAACATGAACAGCATGGTTATCACTATCAGAAGTTTCACACTTTCTTGATTCCATGTAATACTCACTTTTTGCTGTATTTAGTATTGTATTTATTCCTTTAATCCTTTTTTACCATTGACAATTGTGTTTAATACTCTAGTTCAATATATTGAAATTCTTTCAATATGAAACATGAAGATTGAAAATATAAACATTCATAAGCAAATTTAAATAAAACACGTTTCTTTTGGAATTTAGGGCTGCAGTTTTGATGGTCAGCGCCAATAGTTAGCACACATCATTTTACTTTGTGTTAGCTGAATTAATTGTGCTTCGGTAATTCGAATTATTTCGACTATACAGTACTAACAATAATTTTAATTCCGTTTCGATTTTCAATAAACTTCGAAGGCTAAAATTTCCCGATTTTGTGCACCATAATTGTGCACCATTTTGGCAAATTTGTGCACCAAATTGTGCACCAACTTTGGCTGCTATGCACGGCACATGTGACATGGCGATCGCCGACATTCCATACTGGATTCTTGATCATTTAAGTTACATTTTAAAAATGGCATCTCTACATGTTTGTGGAGGCTACAAGACTGAGTTTAAAAAAGCTGTTGGAATATTTCAATATCATCCAGTCTTAAATCCTGTTCAGAAGAAGGCTGTCAACATGAACCTCACCTCTGAACCACTATTTTAAGAATTTGTTTCCCAGTAGGCTATTTCCCAGAACTTTTTAGTCAAGTAAAAATTATCTGCAAAATACTAATGTAATACTAAATGTTGAAGGTAATAAATGTGTAGAATTCTTCCATTGATGAGTAAAGTCATCTGGTGTTTAACAGAATGAAATGATTTATTATTTTAGTCTGTTTAACCCATTGAGCCTCCATTGCACCCCAGTGCACCCTACTTATATAGTTTTTACTTGTCTAACGCCAGACGATTTTACTCTTCAATGGGGAAGCTCTGCAACTTAATGGGTAATTTCAGGCAGTTTTGGTTATCAGTGGGCAAGCACTGGCACTCAATGGTTTAACTGTTTGCTGTACAAGCAGGTATATAATTTGGAATATACATTATGCTTTAGAGCCAAAATACAAAAGGTGTCCCACTTTTGCTTCTGTAGTCTTGTGGTGAATTTTTGCTTTTCCGAAGCAGTCACAACCCGGAATTTATTGGATAAAATGTTAGATTCATCGCACAAAAGGTGCAAAATTGAAATTTTATCACAGTATTTGCTGTTAAATTAGTACTGTAGCTGCTACAGCAAGACCAAAACCAGACAAATTACAACAAAATGCCCGCTAGGCATTAAACTCACATTGCCTGGGTACTTAGGCCGACCTTGAGTAGTTGTTACAAGTCATCTGGTATCATAGTTAATAGAACTCTATGGTCATATTTTTAAAAAAGATTTATAATATTAAAACATTTTTGGGTGATTTATTAAAAAACATGAACTAGCCTGTAATATGAGGGACCTATGCGACAACAATTATTTTTAATTATATAGGTATAAACACTATATAACAGTACATATTTTTAGATGAAGAGTATGGTACAATTCTACATCAAATGAAAATTATGTAGTTGTCTGTGCATTCATAATACAACAGTAATAGCATGGCACATTTTTTCTGAGCAACTACTAGACGTGCAGTTTTTTTTCAGAGAGTTACTCCACTGTACACTGTGGGTAGTCCATATTGTTATCAGCAGAATGTTTAGTCGCAGTATAATGGAAGAAATTTTCTAGAGTAACTTGTGTTCAAGTGATATTGTAGTTGACAGTCCAAGCTCTAACATGTACTGTACCATAGGCAGCATATAATTCCAGTTGTTCAGCATGAGTCAGTGTAATAGCTGCATTATAGTTGCTTGATTGTTACATAATCCACAGTTTATCATAATCCTCTAGCATCTGGTAACATAAAATCCAAATTGATAGACATTCACATTCAACCATTGTGAAAATAAGTCTTGACTATTTCATGATAGTGATTTGATTGCTATAGTTCAGGTGGAGTAAATGATACCATATATGGTCAATGCATAACATTAACATGTTGGCCATAATGACACTAAAAATAGTGCTTGGTCATGTAGTAACAATTAAGGTACGTATCATTACCAGAAGTGAAGCAGGAATGTTTTATGGTGTGAATGAACAATTAATATAGCTCATAATTCTCAAGCATCAAGGCAGCAAATAAGACTGTTTCATAGTATTCTGATGGTTGTTTTAGCTCAGGTGAAGTTGATATTTTCCATATGATCACCGCATTCGTTGGCATTTTGACACTAACCACGTTGTAGTAACTAAAGGTACTGGTATTGATAGTTTGTGTACCAGACTGGACGATATTAAAGCACAGTGGAACCAAAATGTTTCTTTGAATGGATAGGAAAAACTGTTCATCATGACTTAGTTTCCAAGCAGCACCCAAGTTAAACCGTCTTAAAATTGTACATTTGAAATGGTGGAATTGCTAGAGATGCTCGGTTTTAATAGTATCCTTCATATTATGTGTTTTCTTTTGATGGGTGCTATATGGTAGTGAATATTTATTAATAACACTATTTTCTCTGTGAGAAGTTCTGCAGCTGTAAACTTGTTGATTTGATGTTATCTGTAAAGACATGGAAAATGAGATTATAATTAAGTATTATATTAAATGACAGTCAATTTATGAAACATGGTAATAGCAGACTCAGCCAGGCCATAAGTAATGATATGACATGACGTAATGACCACACAGCATACTTACCATGTGTTGTCACTTGTCCCAGTGGGTCAGGCATGTCCATGTATGTGGGATCAGGACTGACACACATATATGCACCATTACATGGTGCATTGTTTCTAGTCATGCAAATGTTTAGTAGTTGTAAATGCAAATGTTTACTAACCGTAACTGGTAACATTTTGAAGTGTATTCATCTGTTTCACAATTTACATTATATGCCACAATAGCTATATTAAAATTATATGGTGTATTGTATAATAGGATGTTATGTTTAGATAACTATAAATTTGACTTTCACAGCATCATGATCTGAATAATAAACACTGAGGACATCATTTTCAATTATTTCAACTGTTGTAGATCTGATATAAATATGATCTAACAAACTTCCAGAAGATACAAATGTTGGCTTTGTTACAATTTGAATATAATTTAAAGAATCCCATTATTAATTTAAGATGTTCAATTTGTTTATCACTGAAGTAGTTAATATTAAAATCACTAAGAACAATATCAACAGTAGTACTTGTAAGTATGTATCTCAAGCATTCTATGTATTGTGAGACATTAGAGTTCGGTTTTCGATAGAGTAGAGGAATATTTTGTGTTCCATGGGACATGTTGTTAACCAGTTCATATTTGACTGCATTTAGTGAAGGAAAATATTCAAAATCTCCAACATTTACAGTATTTTGTGTACAGATTGCCATACTTGAATATTTATCACTGACATGGTCTTGACGGTACAGTTTGAAGGGTCAAAGTGTATCAATAATTTCATTGTCAGAGTCAGAGGAGAGCAATTGAGTTTCTGTTAAGGCTATAACATCACTAGCAAAAAGTCTTGAATCACTTTTCATGTCAATGCAATGTTTTTTAAGAGATCTGATATTTAAAAGTGTTATGGTGACAGCATTACTATGATGTTGCAAATAGTGGTTGGATGACTAACAATACATTCTTTCCTTAATCTTTCATATTCTTCAAGAACCTTTGGGTTTGTTTTCACATGTTTACTAGCAATCTCTCCTAAAATATGCAGACCTTGTAACGAAGTTGCTCTGCTTAAGGCAACATAAATTTGTCCATAGTTAAATGATCTCTGATTTACTAACTCCATGCTGACTACTACTTCATCAAGTGTTAAACCTTGAACTTTATGTACAGTACATGCCCAAGCTAGTGTCACAGGAAATTGTACTCTCTGTATTTCTGGGGATGATGGTTTACCTGGTCTTATTTTAATCTTCACCAAAACAGGTTCAATTGGGACAACTTGATGTTCTCTTGCCAACAGGTTGCTAGTAGTCTTAAGAAGATTTTTACCAGCATTTGGATCATCAAATTTAATGTAAACAATGGTTGGTTTCTGGTTAGTTGGATTGACATCAACTTTAAACACAGTTCCCATTTGTCCATTGATAAGTCTGTCTGCAATGCTAATATTGCTTGTCAACATTACTCTGGCACCTTCCTTGATGTGAATTACTAAATCAAGTCCACCTGTTTCAGAACGTTTCCTTGCAAGAACTTTATCAATATCTTGTTTCTTCACATTTGGTGGGAATTGATCTTTAGCTTTTAGAACAAACAATGGTCCAGCAAGTTGTTCTAATTTCTGATTATTGTGTTTGTCAACTGGTGAGTTCTCTGCCCAAATATGGAGTGCATGTGATGGGTAATTAAGGTCATCTGGGGATACTGATCTTGATTGGATTACCTTTATATCATCTTCTGTCTGGTTAGCAGTTCTTATTCTGTTAAGAAGTTCAATAAATGCTTTATCATTTCTTTGTCTCATGATTTCTACGAGTTCTATCATTTGGAATACTCTCCATGGATGGCATAAATTATAAATATTATTTCTGTTAAGTATCAAAAACAAACTTTTTACGTATTGGTGGTAGTTGACAAAGATCACCTACGACTATGATAGAGATTCCTGCAAATAACAGATAACTTGGTGTACCAAATATATCTTTTAATCTCTGATGAATATTAAGCAAAGTTGTGTTTCCTACCATAGAAATTTCATCAACAACAATAAGCTTTAACTCTGACAATGTTAATCTTAATTGGGTCTTTCTTTGGTCAGACAATGGTGGTACAATATCACCAGCTTCTTTAGGAATAGCAAGACCATTATTAATTGTTGTTCCATCAATATTTATTGCAGCTACACCTGTGGGTGCCATTAGCAATACAGTTGGTAACTCAGGGTTAACAGGAGGGTGTCTAAACGTCTTAACTGCTGTATGGTATATTGTTTTAATGACATGACTTTTTCCGGCACCACCACCCCCAGTCAAGAACAGATAGATTGGATCTATGTCAACTGGTTTTAGACTGTTCAAGTTCTTCATTTTATTGCGACACCATGTGAGGAATGTATCATATGTAAGACGTTGTTGTTTGTTTAGTGATCTGATATTTTGACGTAATAGATCATCAGAGATTTCTGTTGGTTGGTGATAAGTTGCAATAGCTCCAGGTGTGGATTCATTATTACATTGTGCTGGATCAAGATGTGATGGTAACTGTTCATTGAACAATTCATCTTGGTTTACATCATCTGGCATCTCATCTTGTACATCTGCATTTTCCTGATCATTAAGTGCATCAAATGATTGACCAAGGTTGCCTTGGTTAGCTTTAAGTATGTCAAATGCTTCGCTAATTGCATCTGCATCAGGTTCAAATATTGATCTGTTGAGTTGTACAATTTTTTGAACATCTGCTTCATAAAATTTGGATGTATATGTTTGGTTAGAAGCCAACAAATTATTTTCATGTCGCCATGGGTAATATAGCATAAGTAGGTGGTGGAAGTATAATTCTGGTTGTTTCTTTTTATTTGGTGTATGGTATCTTAACACAGCTTTCACTTTTCGACGTTTCATGTACTCATTTTTGTTAAGCAATTTGATTGTTTTTGGTAGGCTTGTACTCTATTGGTGATTGTACTTTGGTTTTCAATTATGTCATCTGTTAAGATATCTGGCTGGCCATCTTGTGTTTCACAGTCTAGTTTATAATCTTTGTAATAGTATGCTGCAAATTCTGCAAGGCACATGCTATCAACTAGAGCTATAGATGTTGGTCTAATGACATAACGTTCAACAATATTTGATTTAAATATATCTGTACTATCATCATCTAGATCATCAAGTTCTTCCTGAGTTTTAGTCATCCGGACCCTCTGTTCTGGGAGATTTGTGTTGACAAATACTGTTCTTGGAAATATTTTCCTCAACCAAAGTTCAGGCATTGCTCGGTAAACACATTCTTGTGAGCTCACTTCTCTGGTGGATAGAAAGGCAGCACCAACTTTTTTCAAGCCTTCTCTAATGCTCATATTGGCAGCTTTTGCCTCTTTTGCTGCATTCATAATAGCTTGTGAACATTCAGTCTCATCTTTAGTAAAGTACGAGCATACATATGTTATACATTTATAATGATTGAATACAGGTTGCAAGTCAACATTTGCTGCAAAGCCCTTCATACCAGCAACAAAATAATTATTAATAAAACAGCTATCTACAGGTCTTTTAAGATGTAGCTCAAAGTCTGAATCAGGGGAAATAGATAATGCCCAGTAATATTGCTCTTCAGTGATATCCAAAGACTTTAAAATATCTGAGTCACTTAATGAGGCATCATAAGTTGTTTTGGATGGGTTAAGAACTTCATCAATTTTTTGTTTGACTGGACTTAAGATTTGCATTCGTCTTTCAAGCAGGTTAGTTTTCGCTTGTTCATCTAATTCATCACTCAGAGGTTCTGCTACAATTGTTCTGTTTGTGAAGAATTGCCCAAAATTAAATCTGCAACTAACATTTTTGTATTTTCTGCAAGTTTTGGAGTGATTGTGTTTTTGATATGTTTTGACTAACTCATGTAACTCTGGTTCTATGTTTTTATCTGGAAGGTTGGCATGTACATGATTATCAATGAATTGTATATAAGCCTCCTTGCTATCAGAGGTTAACTTAGGGCAATCAGAGGTCCAGATTAAAGCATGTAAATGAGGTGATCCTCTCATTTGGAACTCAATACGAAGTGCATAGTACATTATTTTGCCAATTGGGTTACTTGCACGAAGTAAAACTTCAGTGAAGAAAGTTTCAACTCTATGTTGGAAGTGTTTTGCAACAACAACAGGATTAAGATTCAACATTGAACATCTATCGTTGTAAGATAAAGCCTGAATTTCCTCATCTGTGATGTCATTACCTTGTGTTTTAGCAATAATTTGAAATAATTCTGTCCATCTAAGATCAGCACATGACAATGTCATAAACCATGTTGGGATGCCTAATTGTTTCACCATTGCTACTACTTCATACATAAATTTTTGCCAATATGGTGGTGTACCTGGAATCTGTCTTAAAAATAAAATGCTTGGTCTTGACAAATCAGCCCTTTTAATTTATTTACATTTGATTTTATTTCAGATGCAGTGACAGGTTGTCCTTGTATTTTTTTCATGGCTATGTTAATACTGTCAGATACTTTCTTTTGTTCTGTTATAAACTGGGCAAAGAAAAGGTATTCCGGGTTGGTTGCAAACCTTCCACTATAATGTAAAAGTCTAGCATTGAAGTATTTTACTGGTGACAATTTAATTGTCCGTTCATGTGTGAAGCCAAATCTACCTTTTGGAAACAGTACAGGAAATGCAAGCTCTTCACAATTTTTATCCATCATTTATGAAACAGGGTGTTTGTTTTCACCAGGTGCAATGTTATACACTTCATTGCCTAATGAGTAATTTTTACTGTTTTGTGTTATTGCAATTGGGTAATCTGGTAATACAGATTGTAAACAGGTCTCATTAGGTGCTTGGCGATACTCATTTAATGGGTCATCCTGTTCTTCAAAATCATCATGATCATTTGGATCTGAGACATGATGTTGCCTGTTATCTGACAGATTATTTTTGTTTGTTGTAAGATCATCATGGCATTGTTGCTGCTGAAGACTTGTCACATTATCTCCAAGACTGTTAATATCAATTGTTATGTTATGATACAATGGGTTGTTGACCTTAAGACAGTTTAAGGCATTCAAAACAAACTGAGGGCGTACTACCTGGAAATAAACATGACCCCTAAATTCAAGCTTCCTTTTTAGCTTCAACATAATGATACCAGATCTTTCTGGTGGACGAGGTAAAATTTTACAGGACTGGTCACATTCAACAGGCACATTACATATTGCTCCTTTTACTTTTTTCTGCTGTCCTTTTGGCATCACAATAATTTTTCAAAAACTATTTGCTAGAAGAATCTGCTCAAGCTTTTCTAAGCACAGCAATTCATTTGGTATGTCATCAACATACATGTCATTACATACAGCTTGACATGGTGTTTTACCCTTTGAGACTTTAGAGTGGCATGTTTTGCAAATGAACTGTTTTTGATCGAACGATTTGACATTGGTTAACACATTTAGCATGCTATTGTCATATGTAGATTTTTGCAATAAAACAACTGATTTCCTGTACAATAACCCCTGACAAACTGAACATACAAAAAATGGCCATCTCTTATTTTGACTTAAATGTTGATATACAGTTATCTAAGTCAGATTGCTTGGACTTGCACTTCTCATATTTCTTCTTCAAATGTTCATCTTTTTTGCAGGGATCCATAGAATTATATTTCTTAGCACATGTTCGAAGGAGAACATTCTTTTTTAAAGGATCCATTGAACTATATTTCTTAGCACAGTTTTCAAGAAGAACTTTCTTTTTTAAATCACTCATTGATTTGTATTTTTCAGTATTTGTATCAAGAAGGGCTTTCTTTTTTAAAGGATCCATATATTTATAATTTTCTTTCCGCTTTGCCAAACATTGTTTTTTCTCTGCAGGACCCAAATTTGTATAATCACTTTTGCGTTTTCCTGACATTGTTCTTTTCTGTTCAGAGGATTTAAGTTTTCTTACTACTTTCTGCCTCTCTGAATTTGACAACTTGTGCGAACAAAATAAAAATTGAACATCGTATGACACATTTTGACATTTTACTTTACTAGAAAACTCGTAGAGTTTATCAATTAAACAATTAGGGGTACCACAAATTTCAAACCCAATTTTCCTTAGCATATCATTGTATGCAATAAAATAGTATTTTACTGCTATACAGTAAAGTAAATACAGAAAATACTGTATTTTCATTTGAAAAAAATTCATATAGTGAAAAAAATTCACATTTATTACTGTAATTTAATGTTTATAGGCCATTCTGCAAACTAGCATAGTGAAATTTTTGTATTCTGTTGCCATTTACTGCCCATGTTTTACTGTTCATACCTGTCCACTAAACTTTTGTGACAAAAACATTGATATTCTTATTATAAACAATTTTTATTGTGTTCTGAATGTTAATAGACTTTGTTATTAATCATATATTCATTGGATATTTAAACCTCGTGGTTAAGTACAAATAGTTTGAGATTTATTTTGGTGCTCACTCTTCCGTACTTTGTCTCTTTGTCTTTGTTAGATAACATTGACCTCTGCCTGTTACACAAGTATGCATACTCATAAATATCATACTGATACCACATTAAAATACAGATCATTTGCATTGTTGTGGATCAGGAAATGTTCAATTTTGAGCATTGCCCCAGTAGCATACCTCAAGTTGAGGTTTGGGGTAGGTATTGTGATTATGATTATATATATCTATATATATATATATATATATATATATATATATATATATATTATATATATTATATATATATAATATATGTTGAACATGATTTGCTCCAAAATAAATTTGGAGTTGCAAC